AAAAAAAAAAAAAGGGGAGTCAAAACTTGGAGAATCAAAGCAGGTGAGTGGTAAGTTTTCTTTTTTCATAATATAACTCACGTGAAGCCCGTCAGATGGCCATGAGCCAAGATGCTCTCTTTGAACAACATCCTGCAAACAGATATTCACAGAACAGATGTGAAACAGAGAAAACCCAGCATGAACCTGTGGTGCTTTCCTTTGTCAGCCTCGAGTACAGAGAGCACTGGAGTCAGTGTTTTCAAATGTCAGAATCTGAGGCTGTTAGCTTCCTTCCTCTGTCAGGATGCCACCTTGATGGTATCATCTGTCTCTGACTCCAGAGTACACCGTGGGCAGTAGCAACACGGACATGAAAGTCGTCCAGACCCGCGCTGGCAGCCGATTTTAGCATATTTCGGAGATGATCGACTGAATTGTCTCGCTCACATTCGGCAGAAAGGATTTTAATCTAACCCATAGAATGAAAGCTAACCCTAACCCTTCTGAACCACAGAACACAACTTTGTAACAAGCACTCCTGTCAAGCCAATGTGTTCAAATTAGGGCTAAGAACTCCATGCATTCATGGGGGGGGGGTTGTGTCCTCTCAGCTAACTCTGACTCAAAGGAAAATTGCGCTAAAATCTAACCCAATTCCAACTGTCTGGGGTTGACATTTTTCTCTGATAAAAACCTCCCTCCTGATTGTGCAATTTCATGTTTGTCCACGCCCCCCTCCCTTTTTTTTTTTACCCACGCCTTGGAAAAAGTAGTGAGGTGTTAATTTGCCATTCTTCTAACCCATCTTTCTTTACCCTACTTCCAACTTTTCATACTTTCAAGTGAAGCCCAGATTGAAAATCATTTCCTTGGACTTCTCCTTCCTGTTAAGTAATAAATGACTGTAACATTCCAGAAAACCTCGTATTGCTGAAGCGCCTCCTCAGCGCGTGCCCCACACACCTGACTTGCATCCACCCTTTGGGCCAGAGGGGCTTGACCTCGGTCTCCATAAAGGCTTTGAGGTAATCTTCCAGAGACACGGAGGTCTTGCCCTCTAGCTCGTAGCAGCCCAGCTTCACTCGCACCAGAGAGCACAGCAGCGACCTGTGTGGGGGGGCACGGAGAAAAAGCAAAGGGGGGAAAACTTAGCCGGATCACGCGGAGACGTCGGGGGGTTAACACGTTTCCAGCGTGGGGCGCGATCCTTCCGTCTCCAAAACTAAACGCACCTGAGCTTGTCGTCCCAGACAAACTTCTTCCGGGGCCCCATCACCCTCTTCCCGGGCTTCTCCTCGTCATCGTCGTCCGAGCCGTTTTTGTCTCCTTCCTCAGACTGCTGCCTGCGAGGGGAGGGACAAAAGTCATGTTTTAAAAAAAACACAAAAAAAAACAAACAGAAAGTGGTCTGAAAAAGGGGCGGTCCTACTTGGCCACTTTGGCGATGCAGTCCATGTTGTAGCGCGCGATCTGCTCGGGCATGACGGAGCACACGGCCAGCTTCAGGTTCAGCAGCGGCGTCTGGAGCCGGTCGTCCTGCACGAGCACAGGCGGGAATCACAATTGGAGCATCTTAAACACGGATAAATCAATAAAAAAGGCGAGGAGGCGGCGCGGCGCACCTGAATGTTGAGGCTGAGCTTCTTAAGGCGCTTGAGCAGGGCTTCTTTATTGCAGGGCACGAAGGCCTCCAGGTGACCGTAGACCGCCGAGCGCACGTCGGCCGGCTGCCTCCGGACCTGCAGCTCGATGCTGACACACACAAACACACACACAGGTTTACAGCGGCCCGCTCTTACGCTTACGCATGCGAAAGGCCGAGCTGAGTAACACTGACTCCAGCAGGATGTTGTTCATGTCCAGTGTGAAGAACTTCTTCCTGCCCTCTTCGTCGAATAGACGGGACGCCTGCGGAAAAAGGACAGTAATTAAACCCACTGGGAAGAAGTGGGTGGAGGTTTTCTAATTTTGGGGGCAGGATTTGTGGAGGACGGGGTCACGCACGGCTCTCAGGTCCTCGATGCGCTTGGCGAGCGAGTCCGGGAGGCCGCAGGGCAGCGGGGGGGGCGCCATCATGGCGGCCGGGGCCACCCGCCCGCCGCCCGCTTTGCCCGCCGCGCCGAAGGAGCCGTTCTCGCCCTGCCCCGGGCTGGAGGGCTGCGGCGAGTCCAGCATGCGGAAGTCCAGGTCGCCCATCATGTCCTGCAGGAGGTCGTTGTTGGCCGAGCCCAGCAGTGACATCACCGCCTGGTCCTCGCTCAGGTCCGCCATGTGGCAGTCGCCGCCCTCGCCGGCCTTGGCGTTGGCCAGCGCGCCGGCGGCGGCGCCGGGCACTTTGGCGGCGGGGCGGGGGGGCAGGCCGGCGGCGGCGGGGGTGGTGGTCAGGTTCCGCTTGCGCATCTCCTCCTTCTCGCGGGTGAAGCGGCGGATCATGTTGGCCAGGTTCAGGGAGTCCTTCATCAGCTTCTTCCTCTTCTTCTTCTCGGGCCGGTGCACGTTTAGAGACGAGCCGCTGCAGGAGGGGCGGGAGAGGATAATGAGCACAGCCCCTCAGCCGGAACACAACATACCAACGGCTGACCTCTACATATGTGTAATAACTCAGCTATAACTGCACATCTAGGCAGATTATGTGGACGGGAAAAAAAAGGCGACCAGATTTTTTTTTTAAACTGGCCGTATAACTTATGTGAAAATATGTAACTAAAATCTCACCCGGGCTTTGGTACTTTATTCTTCTTGGGCTTCTTTTCCTCTAGAATTCCACCCTCTTGCTTTTTCCGCCGCTTTTTATTCGCTCTCTCCTCCCCGTCTTTCGTCTTCTGTGGGGAGGTGTAAAACAAAAACAACTTCAGTGTGGCGCAGCACGATGGCGCCCGTTTGCGAGCAGGAAGACGAGAGGGGTGGGGTTGGGGGGGTGCCCTACCTTGAAGTGGTGGCCCTCCGTGCCTGCGTTCTCCTCCTCGGAGTCGGACGCGGGTCTGAACTGCAGCGTGCCCGTGTTGATGTAGAAGCCGCCGTGCTTGGTGGTGAGCGAGGCCGGCACCAGCTCGTCGTACTGAGGGACCGGAGAGTCTAAATTAGCCGTGTGTACTTGATAATGGTTTTAAAAAAAGGAAAAAGGTAAAGCCATAGTCCGCTCACCGCCTCCGAATTGTCGATGAAAGGGTCGGTCTCATCGTAGCCGTAGCCGATGTCGATGAGATCCTGCATCCTGTCCCGCTTCTTCTTTTTTGTGCTGCCTCCTCCCTGAAAACAGACATTCGTGAGGCTTAAGAAAGCTTTAAAATGATAACACAGCTCATGTCCCATCAAATAAACCAATCAAACTGAGGCCAAAAATCTGCTAAATGCCTTTTATTCCTCTTTAAAGCAGAAAAGCACCCAACTTCAGACTATAACTACAGACTGGACAGATCGGTCCAGTTTATTACAACTAGTACACACGCACAGGATGGAAATCAGATCACTGCTCAGAGGATTGATTTATTAGCTCAGGCCAATAACGATTTTCAGCGAGTCTCTACAAGCTTCACTCTTTTGCAAAGGATGGAAGCCTGATTGGTACTTGGCTGTGTTAATATACACTTTGCTTTGGGCCCATTTACATCCACTTTAGTGCCAAGAGCTGAATTTAAATACACTGCTCTCTGATTTAGTCATGTTCGGAGGAGCTTGACTTCTGAAAGACAAATTCTAAAGGTCCGGTTTTGGTCTAAAATGATGCTATCCTTTTCCGTTTTCCCTATAGCGCGATGCAGTCCAGACCTGCTGCCCCGTCTAGCAGAAAATAAGCTGGATGAGAGTATTTTGCCTTTGTTTTGCGGGGATCGAGAAACGAGGTGGTGGATGGAGACCAGATCGAGGCGGACGCTGTTAAGCAAACTGCCAAACTAATCTCAGAAGCTTGAAAACAGGCTGTTAGAATCCATTTTCAATCCTTTTGGGCAGCTGCTTGACGTTTGCGATGTCCGCAACTCGCTCCATCCTCCGTGGTCTCAGCAGAATGCAAATTGGGGCTTAGCTGACATCTGTAACAAGCTGCATTTGTTCTCGGGCCAGCTTCCTGATTTGGACTGTCGGGAAATGCATCACGTTTTCACCACCAATCCACCGGCGACTATAAGAACTGGACCTTGAAGGGCTTCCCTGTGCTAAATCTATTTTTCAAACCAGCTCCTGAACAGATTTCATACAAATAGATAAATATAAACACACACTCGATTGAGTTAACTGGGCCATCTGACTGCCGTGGTTCCATCCTCCAAAGCTGCCCAATGACTTAATGATTTAGGATGCTCCTGCACTTCAAAGGGAACTCTACAAAGCAACATTTGGCCGATTTCTGACAGACCTTTTCCTGTTTATTTGAGTTCAGTCAGTGGTGGGCCGTCAGGGCCTTCAAGGCCTTCTCTGCAGGCCTAAGAAAATATCTGAATCACAGACTGATGTTAATTATATTTTGTCCATGGAAACTTATTAAATATCTCTAAAGAGTCTGTCCGCTTCCTTTCATAGCTTTCCCCTGGTTGCGCTGCTTCCAGACATGCATTTTCATATAAAAGCATTTAACCAATCACATTTCAGCCATCATTTGTCGCTAGGCAGATATCCAATCAGGGCAAAGCTAGCAAACAAACCGAAATATAGTTGTGTTGGTGTAATGGCTATTTTATGATTTGGTGGTGGATTTACTGTCAGGACCATTTTCAAAACGGACTTTTCAAGAAAATTAAGTGAGTAAAATGTTGCTTTTTTCTTAAATAATATTGCGAGTTTTTGGAGGATATTATGGATGTTTTTTTGTTTTTTGGGGGGGGAGGGGGGTGGTCGCAGCTGTAGCTGCAGGAGTAGAAGACTTGTGCACCCCTGATCATTATACTGTATTTTAGGCTTGTCCCGATCCGATATTTGGATCGTATCGGCCGGCATGAGAAACTGCCAATCCAGACTCCAGATCCATTTTTTTTTTTAAAAAGTCCGATCCCACCCGAGCATTAGCATTAGCATCTGTAACCCACAGGTCTGTGTAAACTTTAGTTGTTATATGAGTAAATCCCTGTTCAACATGAGTCTGACAACTATGTAAGTAGATAAATAACTTTAAACTTTAATACAAAAAGCTGGATCGGGACATCCTTACTGTATTTCTACATAATAAGATGATTTCTATAACCATACAATAGTTATTGAGGGGTGAAGTGATTCAGACGGAGCACCACTGAAGGCCTAGGGGTGAAATGCACGGTCCGCCACTGGTTTATGTCAGTATGAAGAACAGTTGAATTTCAGTGAGACTGGTTGCATGTCGGATAAAGCCACACAGACACGACCTCAATTGTACTAAACTTACATATTTGTTCTCAAATTTCCTGGCGAGCTCTTCCACCTCTCGCCTCTCCTTCTCATCGTCTGCAAAAGGGTCGCTGGGGTCCAGTGGAGGAGCGAGTCCTTTAGGGGCTGTGTTTTTTACCTGGGTGGGGAAAAAAACAAACAAACAAAAAAACACAAAGATATTAAAATAAAAATTTCACTTTAAAGTGGCTTCACCTTTGTTCTAAACTTTCTCACGAGCTTAATCTTTCCTGGTTTCTCTAACAATCTGTACCAAATGTTAAACTCTAAAATAATTAATTAGAATATATCAACAAGAGGGAAACAGCAAGTGTTTGTAAAAATACACGGAAGAGTGGGGTGAGATAAGCCATTTTCGGAGAGGGTTAAAATGACAGGATTTGATGTATCAAATGATAATTACTCTTTGACAAAGTCTCAATAAATCTCAACTAGCCTAGCTTTTCGGTCAAACTGAGCATTGGAGGGAAACTCCATTAGTTCTGCTTTTGTTTGTCATATTTGCACCAAGAATATTCCAACAAACTTGCTGTTTTCCCCACAAACACAAAGATGGTGGAACAAAACTAAACAGAATATGATGCATTGTGAATAAATTCACCACTGACACAAAGCAAAAACAGCAGCATTTAAACTGCCGCTGACAAAAAACAAAACAACAACAACTTTCTGTTGGCTCTTATCACTGGTGACACGACTTTAGAGTGTCTGGCAGAAATGATGGCTGCTTCCAAAATGAGCGGTAGTGGGACGGTTGCCAAGACACAAATAAGGGGGGGGGGGTCTTCTTCCCCACTGGCTCACATTACTTACCCAAACTGTTTCCAAAGTTAAAAACGACTAAACTAATACGCGAATGTGACCGTAAATAGAGGTTTCACTCGACTGTAATCAACTTCCTGTGACTTGTAAACACACGAGCTCTTAAGCTTGTTAACCCCCAGTGCACGAGGCGTTGTCAGGACGACCTGACTAAAGACTTTTTTTCTTTTATAGCTATAGCAATTTATTCTTTTTCGAAAGAAAACTCTCGGTTTTGAACAAATAAGACACGCGAAATAGTTCAACTCTCAGTAAAAGCGGCTATTTAAAGTGACAACAAGTGCAGCACCCATCAAGTTTGGCCAGGTTGCCCCCCTCCACTACCACCACCACCACCACCACCCAGCCTCATGTCAGCATAATGGTGTCTCCGGGCTGCTCTGACCTGAGGAGTTGAGTTGACCAGCTCGCCGTAGTTGAACTCGGAGGAGCCCCGCTCGTTGGGCTCGACCAGAGACAGGCTGAGGCGGACGGTGGGCTTCTCCTCGCCGGCCTCGGCGTCGGCCGCCTGCGTGTTGCCAAACAGACCCCCGCCGCCACCCCCTGACCCGACCGCCGCCGCCGCGGCACCTCCGCCTCCATCTTTCCCAAAAGTGACGTCGACGGCCTCATCTTCGCGGCGGCGTTTCTTGCTGCTCTCCGGGGTCGGCGGCGAGGCGTTGAAGGACGACAGAGTGACGAACGGCACTTTCCTCGGCTCTGCCATTTGACGCTCGGCGTCCAGCTACGGGGGCCCAGGAAACGTTGAGCGCCACGCTCCTCTGAGCGGCAGCTTCTTGGAAAGCTAAAGTGGAGACGGCCGACCAGTGCTGCTAGCTAGTTAGCTTCCCCGGAATGAGTGCTGCAGGCAACACAACGACTTTTGTCTCCTTTCGGCCCGTTTTAATCCATAAAGTACTACCCCTGGCACAACCCCCGTTGCTTATGAGGGTCTTAAAGAGAAGAAAATCGCTGTTTTGTGCGTTTCCATGAAACTGGTTGATAGCTACCGCAAGGAGGATTCTATAGTAGCCATCTTGATCATTATTATCATTATTCAGAGGCTGGGCGTGCGTATGAAAAAAAAGCGGAAGCCGGAGAGGAAGGGGAACAGCTTCTGTCCAATGGCTGCCAAGGGACACGCCCCCTTGAAAGATTAGCGCGAACGTAGATGATTGCTCCGTTAGAATCAGTTATTTTTGGTATTATTTTCCCGTCCTGAAACTTCTTCATAACATATTTTCTCTGCTTTACTATTAAGCTTGATAAAATGTTAATTTAATGTACGTTTTCGAATAGCGTTAAAATGTTTTGCATTAACGAGTCACACACTTTAGGTTCGACCTTTTCCAACCGTCATGACCAAAGATTCCAGAGAACATTCGCCGTTTGGTAAGTGTTATAACAGTGCAGCAGAAGACAACGGCGCAGATAAAAAAAAAAAAGTGATCTAAACAATTCACAATCTGTGGAAACCTGTAAAATGTGGGTGTTTGGACTTTAACCCACTAACAATCCAAACATGGTGCTTCAACATCGTCATGAACTATTCAATATGTTCTTGCAGGAAGTTTTTCTAGTCAGGGCCACTTTAAAGATCTACAAATTAAGTTTAAAAAAAGGAAACTGGTACCTCACTATAACAGAAGAGACTATTTAAGTTACTTTTTCATTCTTTGGCCCATTTGCAGTACACAACTCAGCCACACTAATGCTATAGTGAGAATCCTCACATTCCACTCCAAATAGTATTTAACAGCTATAGTGCTGACTACCAAACACTTCATTATCAATACAGCAGTCTGTTTTCAGAAGCAAATAAATAAACAATACAAAAGTCAAAGTGTAAAAAAACACTTTTATTGTTGCCAAGCTTTAAGACCAGTCAGAAGTGGCACCACCCCAGTCGGAGGCCTGAGCGGTGGGAGCGGTGGACCAGTCCTCTGTGGCAGGCTGAGTGCTCCAGTCCTCTGCTGTAAAAACAAGATGAACAGAGTTCAGACGGATGGAAGATGGCTCATTAAAACTGATCTGCCCGTAAATAATGCCTAATCAACTCACCAGAGTAGACTTCTCCAGTCTTGACGGCTGGAGCAGCTGCTGCTGCTGCCGCCGTTGTTGCTGCTACAATAAAAAAAATAAAAAAAGAAAAAGATTTGTTATTAAAACTTCTTTAACATCGATACATTTTTTTTCTAACTTGCTCTGTAACTGCTTTAGAAGTTGTCAACTAGTAATCTTACCAGCAGGGAATTGCTGAATGGGCACAGATGGCACTGCGACACCCTCAGACCAGTCGGCCACCTCGGGCTGGGTGAACTCAGCAGGAGGGGCGCTCCATTCACCCTGGAACTCCTCCTTCACCACAGCCTTCTCAGCAGCGGCCTGCTCCTCCTTCTCAATCTGTAGAAACACCACATTAGTGAACGCGCTGTTCCGATAAGCCAATTACACTCTAAACGCTTGGTAGCGGTCAGTGAAAGGGAACGCTGTAGATGACCCACCTCTTCAGGGTCTCTGTAGAAGTACAGATCAGGCATGACCTCCCATGGGTGTTCCCTGGAGATGGTTCCTCTCATCCTCAGAACCTCCCGGGCCAACATCCACCACATCAAACCCACAGAGTGGTGACCCTGAAAGAATCATACCGACTATGAGCCAAAAGCTGCAAAGGGTTAGAGTTCATTACACAAAAGTTGTTTCTTGTATTCTATTGCGGGCCCTTTGCCTCGAACCTCCCGTGTGGTTCGGAAGGCCGAAGTGAAAGGACCCGCTTTTTGATGTAGCACACATCCTACACCCTGCACTGCACTGAATGAACAGCACTGGGCTCTAACTGTGTGCATGTTGCAAGGGTACACTTAAAAACACTTCTACCAACATTAAATTTCAGTTAAATAGTTACAAATCCTCCAATCTCACCTTGTTGTTGCAGGGGATGGCAATATCCACATATCTCAGCGGGGAGTCGGTGTTGCAAAGGGCAATGGTGGGGATGTTGACGTAGGAGGCCTCGGTCAGCGGCTGATGGTCAGCGCGAGGGTCCGTCACGATCAGGAGGCGGGGCTCCCTGAAAGCAGCCTGGATCTGATTGGTAAATGTTCCAGGGGTGAAGCGACCGTGGAAGGTGGTGGCGCCGGTGGCAGAGGCGAACTTCAGCACGGCTCTCTGAGGTGGAGAGAAACGAGTCAAGAATTCAGAAGAAAAAAAAGGCTTCTCTGGAATTCTAACAATCTAAAGTTGTCCAATTTTGGCATTGTGGCTTGTGGCTCAGGTCCCTATCTAACCCCAGTCATGGGACAAAAGTCCTCATGGTGTCAGCGAAAACCCGGCCGGATTGTTCTTGCACTCTTCCGACACCAGAGCACTCACGTGAGTGCCCGGCTTTAACAGAGTGCTCGTGGGGGTTTCTGCAAGGCCGGTGGCCAGTTACCTGTCCAGTGTTCCTGGAAGAGATGACGCACACGTCAGCCGGGTTCTCAATAGCAACAATGGCCCTGGCTGCCAGGAGCAGCTTCTCCCAGGTCTTCTTCAGGTTGATGATATAGATACCTTATAAATCAAAGGAGAAGAACAGTTTTACACTGGGAACTTGGTTATAGTCACATGATACCACCTGTATGCTTTCACACTCACCGTCACTCTTTCTCTTGTAGACATACTGCTCCATCTGGAAGTCCAGGTTGGTACATCCCAGGTGGGTTCCTGCTGCCAGGAACTTCAGCACATCCTCCTCCTTCATTTGAAGGACATCCAGACCTCCGGACATCGTGACCGCTTTCCCTGCGTTACGAGTTTATTGGGAGAGCTGAAACAGAAACAGACAAACGGCTGAGTCACCGGCATGGTGGAAAACTAATCAACTTTATTCGTGGGTTGCTATAAGATGCAGCAAATTTTACGGGGATATTAAAAAAATTCTCGTAGCAGCGCTTCACTACAAGACAGCTCACGTTTAACGTTTATTTCAGAGCTCGACGCTAACGAGGTTACAGTTAACTAGTTCAAACTCAAGGAAACCAGAAGATCCAAACTACAAGAGTCAGGTCTTCTGACTAAACATTCACCCTTTCCACAACAATTAGAGTGTATTGTGGGCTTAATAACGGGTATGAATATGATTAGAACGGGACACTGAAACTTGAATTGGGGGGATTCAGCGCGAGGGGAACGCGTGCTCGATGCTAGCTAGTTAGCTTTAGGCATTAGCATTGTGAATAACGAGGAAATTCATGCCGTTAAAGACCCCCCACACGACCCGTCCTCTGCCTTGTTGCCTATTAATGAGATGTTCTATTATATTTTTGTTTCATTGACTTTATTTTAAGGTTTATTGCCAAAAGAAATGTAAGCAACCTTACCACGAAACAACGCCGTATGGAAATCTGACCACACGGTACCAAAAAGAGGGCCTTAGGAGGAAATGACGTCGTTTTTATACCAGATTTCTACGCCTGTGATTCGTTAGTTTTAGGTGACGTGGCTCTAACACTTCTCCGCATTGGCCACTAGATGGAGTTTTATATCTTCCAAAGGCAAAGCACGGGGTAACATTAGGTCGGATGAACATCCCATATTAAGACAATGGGGATGGAAAGACCATATTAAGACAATGCTGAGACGCTGAGTTCTCGGTGGTAGACTGACCTGTGTTGAAACTATATTTGCTGGAGATAAAGTGTTCCAGTAAACAAGGTCATAACACGTACACAACGACCGAGTTTAATATGATAAAGAAAAGGTTTCACTCACCAGATCAGTATTTAATATATTCAAATCCTGTGAGGAAAGTTTTTTTATATAATGAAACTAAAATGCCAAAGCCGTGGGACACAAAAAGGAAAGGGGAACAGATTATGTGGTTGTAAGGTGTTGGCTCCAAAGCTTGGCATGGATAAATGTCAAGGCCAGAAGAGGTGACAGATCTCAAAACCAAAGGCGGAAAAAGCGATGTGGCAGGACAGGATGGAATGTTCAGGAGCTGTTTTTCGGGGAATAAACAGGATTTGTCAACAAACAATGAAAGAATTGGAGGCCAGTCTCCCCAGAAGCTGAAGAATGTGTAAGAGAAAATGGTTAGTGACCCAAAAATTCCAAATAGACATGACATGTATGGTGTATTGTATACATTTTTTGATCATTTTCACACCCAATATTTGGAAGATTATTCCTTTGAAATTATATCTAGATTTTAAAGTGACCCAAGCACACAATTCTCTCCAGATTTTAATAAACTTTCCTGTTTAAGCATATCAACCAAGTCAGCCTCATTTCCTCCTCTAATCTGCATGTTCTACAAACTCTTGTCCTTTTCTCCTATTTGATGTTATGTCACCACACCCCCGTCTGCTTATCTCTATCAGCTATGCGATAAGTCTTTGGTCGTCATGTCCTCACAGCCCTTTGCAATGTGCTGAGCATAGAGCATCCGGTGCTTTTACACCACAGTTAGACCAGTAAAACTCTCTCTCTGGCTACTTCACGGTTTTATATCCTCTGAAATTAATGATAGGGAAGCAGTTAGTACATCCAATCTGGATACGAGATGAAACAAGCTTTCTTTGTTTAGGCACACTTTTAAATAACAGTTTAAATATATTGGAAAACAAATGTCTATAGTTTGGTAGATTTCAAGAAAAGTAAAAACTAAGCCTGATTGAGCAAAATTTTATCTCATGAGTTTTTGCTACTCTGGACCAGATATCCAAAACCACAACCTTACTGCAGAAGGTCAGGAGTCGCCCAGGTTTAAGATAATAATGCAAGTCATTCTCAACAGTGCAATTTATTTGAGAGAACGGATACAAACACCAAGACAAAAGCTGACATTACAACATACTGGATATAATTTCATCTTCTAAAACACCCATTTAAAAAAATACAGTTGTTAAACAATCCACATTTGCTATAAACTGCAACTTTGTAAATTAAGTTACTTTTCCCTCCACTCATTGCAGGAAAAAATAAATAACATTACTAGGGCTTGGAGAATCTAGTTACTGCTCTGGGAGCTCCTCCAGGTTAAAGTGCATGATGGCTGTGTGCTCAATCTGAGACACGCCGTTTTAGTTTCTCACTGGAGGGCGAGTCTTGGCACCAACACAGCAGAAACACAAGCTAAGATCCCAGCAAGGCAGTTGAAAATTATCAGCCCAAAATACAGACTTTGAGGTGCAACGAAACAGAGTATATGTTTGCATTTTCCTAAAAATGCCAACGTGCGATTCCTCCTCTTTAACACATTTTTTTCAGTACACTGACCACATCTCATACCATGTGTCCGTTAAACGGTATGGGCCCCTGTGTGCGTCTGTTATCTTGTTGTAGTCACAACTTTTAAGTCACTGACAACATTCCGCGCTCCTCTGAGCGCATCCTCTCTAAGACCACAGTCAACCGTCTGACTGTCTCTTACAAGTCTCATTTCAGTGTTTCCTTCAGGATTTTAGTCCAATGTGTGCCATCATCTGCTCATACACCGTCCACGCCATGGCGGCCATCATGGTCCTCCTCAGAGACCGAGGAACTGCTCCTCTGAAGAAGCCCTGGACTCCATGTTCCTTAAGGAGAGGACCAGGACAGGCATCGGGTTTAGAAACATCTAGAGGCTGGGAATTTGACTTTTTTTTTTTTTTTTTTTTTTTTTTTAAAAAGGGAGTGTGAAATAGTTACCGTGAAGATGTATTTGATGGCCTCCATTGTCCTCATCTTTTGATTGACCTGGACGTGTGTTTTGACCACATCGGCAGGCTGTGTGATCAGAGAAGCCAGCACACCAGCCAGGAGCCCACAGCCGAAGTTAGCCAGGGGGGCGGAAGGAGACTCTTTGATATCTTAAAAGGAGACGAGATGGTGCGTTTTTGTTTTTAGTTCAACTGGCATCAAAATTAAAAATTGAAACGTATTCAATATGGAGCTACACGCGTGCCTACCTTTAGGCAACGAGGCCTTTGTCTGGCTGTAAAACATGACGTAGATCCCAGAGAAAGGAACGTCTCTGAGGAGAGTGGCCATCAGGCCTGAGAACAGAGCGGCGGGACCTTCGGTCTGACATACGCTGCGCAGAGCCCCGATCACGCTGGCATAGCTGTACCTGCCACACTGGAACACACCAATGAGCCATTTAGTTCCACACGCATACATACAAGAGCCAAAACAAACACAGAGTTCACGCGCCATCGTTTGAAACGTGACTAAGAGTGCAGATAAACAGAGGTTGGAGAACAAGATTTGAAACTAACCAGGACCGTCACATGGACTATTATATCATAATGGATTAGATATGTGGAAGGGTTAGTCGGCCGTGAAGCACAGCACAGAGAAAGGTAATCAAACAAACATGGCTGGAGCCATGATGAAATTCTGATAACTCCAGGATTTGGTTTAATGTTGGAGGCTACATCTGAGGTTTCCAGCGTGATGAAAGACCAGACAGGAGCAGCAGAAACTACAACTCCTCTTAAAACAGCCAGCTGAGCTAAACAGATGGCATAAAGAGGAGTTCCTCATATCACATTAACAATGAGAAAAGACTTGACTGCAGGATAAGTAGAACCTCTTTATACCATATCAGAGTGGGCATGCGAGCTGGCTGAATTTTTTTAAATTAAATCAACTAATTCTGTGTAGCTGCCTGTACATCAAGACCCTTGAGAGGCAAATCTTGTAGTTTAGACTCGTTTGAACACACACTGAACTTAGCACACATCCCCAGAACAACAGTTATTTGTTCTGGGGAAATTGTGGAGTTGACCTACGGAATTAAGATGCAGCTTACTTCAAAGCGCGTCTTGACGACGGTGACCGGCAGCATGACGACCCCCGCCACCGTCCGGGCCCCGCCCCCCAGCAGCACGGCCTGCAGGGCCCCGGGGCTGCCGTCCTGGGACAAGTGCTGCTTCAGAGAGTAGTAGGTGCTGAAGTAGATCCCCACTCCCGGGATGGTCCGGACAAAAGACTAGAGGTGCAGGAGGAGTTTGTTTGTTTACCAACTACAGACCTATACAAAATACTGGGATTAGAACAGGCCTGTCTTCTCTTATGAGTATTTAAAAACAATACTAAAAGAAATTCTTACCGGGGAAACGCCCTTCCACAGCCCCAGCAAGTTGTCTTTCCTCACCACGCTGAGCAGCACCGACATCATCCCCACTCTGCCCGAACTGGACGGGAAGACATTCAGATAAGCATCGGAAAGGAGATAATGGCATGACGAGCATAGTTTTTGAGGGTTATACGAGTTCATCTGTGGTCAACGTTTCAGTCAATAAAGTAGCAGAGGTCAAAAAATAAGAAAGCAGGCGTGTATTCCTACATAGCTTGCAAAAAAAAAAAAACTCACCCGGGCTGCATGCTGCTCTGAAGCGTCTGCAGGCGGGTCTTCACCAGGTCCAGAGGCTGGAATAGGAGAGTGGAGCAGGTCCCGCTCAGAGAGCCGCACATGAAGGCTTTGAGAGCAGGGTGAGCCTGAGGGGTTCGGAGGAGAGGATTGTGAGCAAAATTTTCTTTTTAGTCTTTTTTTTATTTATTTTTTAACAGCCCCTTGCTTTACATTTGATCAACTCTTCAACATGTTGACTGTACAATAAATCTGGGCTTTTTAAAAAAATATATATATTTTTTATTATTTCAACAAGCTTTATGAGTTAGTTAGAAAAGGCCCAATGGCAGCACTAAAGCTTTCGAACAGAAAAAAATTAGATAAATCGCATCAGCCATAATCAGAAAAAAGCGGAAAAGTTTGTTTTTGCGAAACTCACCAGTGACAGTTCCATGGTGCTAAACGGTAGTTCTCAAGTCCCCTGAAAGGTGTTCGTCTTCTTCTCTTTTGAGTCTCTCTCTGCAAATTTAGACCACCTTTACACACAGAGAAGGAGAGGTCAGAAAAAAGGCCTTTGAGGTATGAAGAAGACCGTCCGTTAAAAGCAGACCTGCAGTAATGAAGGTGAACGTGCTCTGCCCTGCCGTTTAAAAACCGCGGTCACGTGACCGGGGCCGTGATTTCCATTTGCCGACACGCAGCTACTCATTAACAAACTAAAAGGTGGTCGTGCTGCGTATTAGACTGAATGGGGCTCGTGACAACATTCTCGTGATTGAACAGCAGAATTCTTCCCAAGCCGCGTTCGTGGAGTTAATTTTCTTTTGGACATTCCTTTAAATGCTTTGGTTAGACTTTATTTAGACGAGCCCGAAATATACCATTCACGAGCACGTGAAGGTGACGTCTAAAATTGCACATATATACACGCAGCAATATTTCAACCTGCCACCTTAGGAAAAAAAAAAAAAAAAAAAAAAAAAAACTTAAAAGTTTCCTCCTCTGCCTCATGTCCTCAAACATTTTTTAAAATATGCGGAGACACGTTATCTCATATTCAGCCACTCTTTGCTAGCATTCAATGTGAGGCGGGAACTCAAAGTTACAGGTTGTGAAGAGGCTGCGGGGGACACTCTGACGCACTTTTTGAGGCAGCGCAGGTTGTTTCCTAAAAACTTCGCTGGTGACCTTCAAAGTGTGAGCGTGAAACCTTCCTTTCGCCTGTAACACGTACGTACCTGAAACACACTCGTCGCGAGAAGCCTTCACTGCGACTTCCACTGACAGCTGAGCTTGATTGATTACGGTCACCAGCCGGGGGTCCGAGATTTTACAACTCTGCGATGGTTAAGCTCCGCCTACCAGAGCCGGGCTGATGTATGATTGGTTAAAAACATGCCTTAATGTGACGTAGGGCTGAAAAGGGGTCGAGCAAGACAAGATGGAGTTTTTTGAGTCTGCGAAGAGGCTGTTTGAGGAGACTGTTCTTAAAAAGAAAAACAATATGTAAATATAGAAATAGTTTTATGGGAAAATGACTGCGAGGAGAGACGCCAGGGAAAAAAAAGAAAGAAATACTTAAAGTAATTCAAGTGACACACACACACACACACACACACCCGTTTCAACTCTCGTCTCTTAAATCACTATTGATGTCAAATTCGTATTTAATTACATGAGGTGCGTAATCCAACACACAAAAAAGTTTCTCCCGAACAAGTTCATACAGTTTGGACCCCCCTCTGCTGGGGCAAATACTCCACTGCATGAACCGCTGCTACATTCAGTTAATTTCAATACCACTTAATCAACTTTAAGATTAAGTGATACGATATTCTTGTAGAAATGTATACATTTGCTATAGTTAACTAAATGTAATATGAATCGGATGGCAAATATGCAGTAAGTTGGAGTTTTGCAGAAGGGAGAGTGTTTTACAAAATATGCATGGGTTGCCATTAGCTGGTTGGGAGCGTTATTTTTGCTGCATGACCATAACCTTACTGATTTGTTGTTCCTTAATACACGTCTAAACTAAAGAACAGACAGGATCTCTGGATATTCCCGATGTCTCACCAGGGATCCAAATGTATTAATTTTAAATGCCAATTTTCCTCATATTTCTAAAGGTGACCGAAGTAAATAAGGTTGAACCCTTTCACCTTTTTGTTTTCATTGCTGTAGACGTGTCCTCTTTAACTCATCTTGATTTGAATTTTTCAAAGTATTTCTTTAGTTTTTGAAAAACTATTTATCAGCTCCAACAGGTTAGCAAGTAACAGGTACCAGAAGTCCTTCCAGCTATGCAAGCAGTTTAAATAGTACAGAAATAATCTTCCTGAAGTCAGTTTTTGCTTGGTAAAAAAAAAAAAAAAAGGTTTAGATTGAATGAAAGGTGAGAAATGTCTAGAACTTCAGGTAAATCTTGTGCCATAAGGGACAAAAAAGAAAAAGCACAATGGAAGCATCAGGCAGCTTAGAAAGCATCTTTATTTGAAATAATATCACACTTCACAACATGATTTCCATTCCAGAGAGGCAGACAGACAAACAGCAAAATAATTGAAATGCAGCATTTAAATTTGTCTTCTTTTTGGATTTGCCTTTGTTTTATTAAGTGCGAAAGAAGTGATCCTTTTAATTTGCGATCTGCTATCCTTAAGTAACAAGACATTTCTCTCACTTTCCAGCAGTGTGAGCCAAAAGCTGACTCTGGGCACAGCCTGTGACACGGTCACACAATTTGACAAACTTACTCTAGACCTGGCCACACACACTCACGCACGCACACACACATACACACACATAGACACTGACGCCACTGCGTGTTTATCAAGCCCAACAGCCACGGTCAGAGTTTAGTGTACATAGGCTACAGTGGTTAAGAATGTCCGCTACTTCCTTAATTGACTTTGGTTCATGACAATCTCACTTACTCCGCCTTCAACAAGCTGTGCCCTGAGAATACAGTGTGTTGTGAGGGGAAAAAAAGAGAAGAAAAAAAAAATACCCCAACATTTATACCCTGAACATAAAAACACTGTTTTGTTTGTTTTTAATCACAAAGAAAAGAAGATCCATGTCCAGAAAAAAAGAAAAGCAAAGAACCTTGTAGGTCTCAGCTGCTTTTAAGGCCTTTAGTGTGTGTGCGTGTGTGTGCATGCACTAAATGAGTATGTGCAGTCATTACAAGACCTCCAAGCTTCTCCTTCATCAATTGAACGAAAACGCACAAATGCAGTGGTAGGTATCACCTAAAATTTAGTCTTTTTTTTTTTCTCATCTCGGTGCCAAAACCGAAACGCTGCACGCATGTGGAATGCCTTCAGTTTTGTCCGCGAGTCTTCAAACTGCTAAAATCCGAGTTCAGATTTCACGTTTCCGCGCGACAAATGATAAACGGGCAATTGTAAGCTCAAAAAGCATAGTAACAAAGGCTAAACTGCGAATACATTTCAGGATATTGCATAAACTCTATAGACTGAGGCGGGCGCTCGAGCGAGATAAACATGAGGCGCTTTCATTCTTAGCAGTTATAAAAACGTCTGCATAAAATACACTTCTGAAGATTGAACTATTACTTTGGTCCCCTTCCAGTAATCGTCTTCATTCATTTACGTATAACTTTGTCTTCTTCAATTAGAAAAATAGATCCTTAATCAGGACTATTGTAAGAGGAAACGTTCCATATAAAAATATCATTTTCTCTTTGTGTTTAAACTTTTCCCAGAGAATGAAAAAGGAAGCAAAAGGAAAAATTTGGCCCAAAACAATGTGTGTGTGTTTGTGTGCGCATCAGCATGGCGATTGTCCAGGTTTACCTGCCTCTGTACGTGTGAATGTGTTAATAATGCATAGATTGTCAACGTTCAGAGACGGATGCAGAAGTGAGCTGAATCCCTGCCTCTAGTCTTAACATTCGTCTGTTTGTGTTCCTCTCCGGTACAGTAAAGGGTGATTTTGTGTATTTTGGGTCTCTCTAGTTTGCGGCGCGGAGGAGTCGAGTGGAGCTGGCCGTTTTTTACTCGGGCTTGGGTTCGGGGGTCTCGCTCTTGGGCTCGGTCTCCTCGTCGCTTTCTATCCCGCCGCGGGTGACGGTGCGGCGCACGGTGAAGGGCAGGTCGCCGCGCCTGCAAAAGAGACGGGAAACGCGTCAAACGAGCAGCGCCCTCCTGTGCACATCATCAGCTTAATCTCCTGATCCCGGACGGGGTGCTCACGCGTGCCCTCGGGCCTCGTCTTACCGGAGCTTGCTCTTGAGGGAGGTGACTTCACGGTTCATGGCATCTGCGGACTCTGTGGCGTCCTCCAGCTCCCGCTGCAGTTTCCTTCGATTGGCGTTGGCCCTCTGAGCTTCCTCCTCAGCCTCCTCCAGCTGCCGCTTCAGCTGCTTCATGCGGGAGTTCAACTTGTCCACCTGACGGAGACACAAAAATTTGCTGAAGACCCACCCACAAGCTACTCCATATATCGCGGGAGCAAGGAGCTGTGATCAGAGCACCACCCACCTGGTCCTTGTACTGCTCCGTGTTGCGCCTCTCGTCGTCCACCTGCAGCAGGACCTCCTTCAGTTTCTTCTCGGTGCGTCTCACCAGCTTGGTGGCAGTCTGCCTCTCCCTAAACAGCAGGCATGCTTTCGGTCAGACTGCAGGCTGACAGCTAGCACTGGTTCTCAAATGTTTGGAAAAAGGCTACTGCTAAGCTTAAGAGTAGCCAATGGAAAGCTGAGGGTCGACACTGAATATTTCACTCAAAGTAAAAGAACTTAAAAGGAGAAATCACTCCCCCCCCTTATTCTTGTCCAAAAAGTGGATGGATTTTCCTTTCAAGTTGGTACTTCCAGCACAAATGCTGGAGCTGCATGATGGCTGGCTAATACAGTCAGAATGAACAGAAATATTTTAATTCTGTTGCATCTCAGCTTGAATTCCTCGGCTTCCCCGTCTGAGTTTAAAGTTTGAACGTATTCAATTTCTGCTTCTCAAACAAACTATGTTTACGGATTGTTGGTGCTCATGGTGCTTTTAATGATGCCTCAGAAAATAAAATTCCTCCAGATAAGTTCATAAATATCGGAACAAGCATAATCATCTTATGAGTTGCCGCAAATGCTTGTATTAGTTTACTTAAAAAGAAAACTTTATAAAAGTATATAAAACTGATGTTCGACCATTTCTGTATAACGAGTATTGGAGTTAGAAAAGGGGACTATTAAAATAATACTTTTTTTTGTTTTTGTTTAATGAACTGAATATTTGGGCTTGTGCTAAAAGCAAAACCGGCAGCAGTTCCGGGGAAACTTTGGCTCTTATTGTGACATACTTTCAGACAAACATTCTTTCTTTCTTCGGGTCACTGATGTTCCAGATTCTCACCTGGCCTCCATGTCCAGCTGCTCCTCCAGCTGGACGATCTTAGTCTCCAGGGCCCCTATCTGTGTCTTGTACTTGGACTTGACGGTGCCCTCCAGCTCCTGCAGCTTCAGTTTCAGCTCCTTGTTCTGGCGCTCCAGCTGGGAGCGGGCGCCCTCCACGCGCTGACAGGTGCTGCGCTCTGCGCTCAGCTCCACGTTCATCTGGTCCGTCTGAGAGAGAAAAGACGTCTTCAATTAATCCCACATGCCGGATGATCGTTTACCGACTTCCCGCCCGGGCTGAAGTCTACGAGTGGCGGCCATTGGTCCACTTGAGATGGAAAAACGTGCTCTAACCAACCTGCAGCATGGCCTTCTTCAGCCTGTCGTTGATCAGCTCCGAGTTGCACTGCTCCTCCTCCAGCTCCTCCTCCAGCTGAGCAATGCGGGCCTCCAGCCGCCTCTTCTCCTCTGCAACCTGAGCACTGAGAGGGAAAACAAATGGAGAGCTGAGATTTGTAGACACCTGGAGGGTTGCAGGCACATTTTTCGGAGCGGTGAGGCGTCTTACTTCTTGGTGGCCTGGTTGTTGATCTCATCCTGCAGTTCGTCTCTCTCCTGCTGGGCCTGCCTCTTTACTCTCTCTGCTGCTGCCAGCTCCTGAACGTTAGATGAGGGGGAAAGAAAAAAAAAAAAAGATGGATGTGAGTGATTTACAGGAGGGACACGTCCCAGTTAAAGTTAAAAATAGAAAGAGTACAGGCTGACCTCCTGCATCTGGATCATTTCGGCCTCCATGCTCTTCAGCTTCTTCTCGGTTTCCTTGCTCTGGGCCAGGATTTCCTCTCTGGACATGCGGGTGTCCTCCAGCTCCCGAATGAGATCCTTCATCTGGGCCTGAGTACGGACGGAAGTCAAAGCTGAGAAAACCAGGACTGGACACTGTTTCGCGGCTCCGCCGCCGATCGGGATGACGGGAGCGTTTACGCGTCACTTACTTGGAGTTTCTTCAGCTGTTTCAGGGCGTCGTCGCGGCTCTTGTTGGCCATGTCGATGGCCGCCTCCAGCTCCTTCAGGTCCAGCTCCATCTTCTTGCGCGCGGCCACGGCGGCAGAGCGCTGCTTCCTCTCGTCCTCCAGCTCCATCTCCATTTCTCGCACCTGCGGGAGGGCACATGTGAGAAACTCGGCTTCTATGCATGTGCTTTTTGAGTCTGACCCGGAGCACAAAAAGACAGCAATAACAAACCATTCTTAAGTTGAAGCCCTTTTTTATGGTCTTTTATGGTAATGAAATGTAAATCAATGGAATTGCTTTGTTTTTTTAATAAATGCAGTCTTGGTTTAAATACCGACCTGTTTAACCAGCGCCCTCTTCTTCTCTTCGCCCATCTCATCGCGCCCTGCCAGGTCCCTCTCGTATTGAGCCTTCATGGCCTGCATGTTGACCTCCAGGCGCAGCTTGGCGTCCTCGGTGGCCTGCAGCTCGTCCTCCAGCTCCTCCAGCTGGGTCTTCATCTCCTCCAGCTGCTGCTCCATGGCCCGCTTGGACTTCTCCAGCTCGTGGACCTGCCGACGGTGGGCGGAAGGGTCTTTATGTTAAGAGCGTCAGGGGGACGGTGCGGAAGCAAAGGCGACGGCTGACATCGCGCTCCGGCGCTTACGTTCTTGCCGACGTCGTCCTTGGAGGAGACCAGGTCCTCCATCTCTGCCCGCAGCAGTTTGTTGCTGCGGTCCAGCTCCTCTTTGATGTCCATCAGAGATTCCAGCTCGCGGGTTAGCGCCAGTGCCCGGGTCTCCTTCTCGCGGGCCTCCAATTCGGCTCGGTCGCGCTCTTCCGCATAGCGGGCAGAGATGTTCTTCTCCTCTGCGAGCATCTAGAGCCACATGAAAGGATCGATCTGTGAGGATCTAATCAAACGCGACATCCCTTATCGGATCGTAAAGCGGAAGGTGCGCGCATTAACCTGATCGAACTTCTTCTGCTTCTTCTCCAGGTTGGAGACAATCTGGCGGAGGTGGTCCTGGTCCACCAGCAGGTCGTCCAGCTCCTGCTGGAGACGCGTCTTTGTCTTGTCCAGCTTGTCGAAAGCGGCACATTTTTCTTCCATGCGCTGGTTCACTCCCTCCAGGTCCCTCTGGAGCCTCTTCTTGCCCTCCTCAGCAGTCTCCAGGCACCCGGCATCCTGCTCCACCTTCTTCTTCATTTCAGCCAGCTGTATGGGACGGTGAGGTGGACGGTTGAAGATATTTGAAAATATCCAAGGTGAGGTTCACTCAAAGGCTCAGATGATTCAACATTTTTGCTCAACAGAAAGTTCAGGTGAAAAGTTTGTCAGCGTTTCTACCTGAGCCTGCACGGTCTGAAGCTGTCGCTCCACATTCCTCTTGGCTTCTTCCTCTTCCTCCAGCTGCTCCTTCAGGTTGTTCTGATCATCCTCGAGCTGGCGCAGACGGGTTCCAAGTGACAGTTTCTGGCGCGTCTCTTCCTGGAGCAGTTCCTGTTGTAAAGGGACAGTTAAAGAGCAAACGATGAGACAATCCAGAGATACAACCCACACCGGACTACTTTTGAAAGCTGAACTGACATGGAAAGCCCTTTGTTTCAAGGAAGCACAAATTGTGTCAAGCTATTTCTTTTATCACGGTCGTAAATCATTATTTAATAGAAACTAGACGGAACATATGTATGTAGATAAAGCCAAGAGATAACATATGTATGTAGATAAAGCCAAGAGATGAATTCAGCTGCTACACATCTGGCTGGCAGGTGTGCAGCCTGGTCTCTACGCTTACCTGAACGTCCTGCAGCTGGGACTCGACAGCTGAGCAGTCTTTGGCTGCCTTGATGGATTTGCCTTCCACATCGCTCAGCACACCGCTAACGTTATCCAGCTCCGCCTGCACACGAGAGACAAAAACAGCGAGATGTTTGGGGGTGTTCACGTCGCACGTCAAGCGTGGCTGCCTGTAAATTAACGGCAGCTACTAAATGAGCTGGTAAAATTGTGAGTGAAAGTCTCATGTCTGGAGGACCGGCGCATTCTCTGTCCAGCCCGTCTGAAACTTTTACCTGCACTTTGGAAAGTTTCTCCGCCAGCTCCATCCTCTGGCGCTCGCTCTCCGAGTGTTTGATCTGCAGCTCCTGGACCTGAGCCTCGGCTTTCTTCCTGCGATGCTCCGAATCCCCTTTGCCCTGCATCAGCGTCTGGAGCTCGATACTCAGCTCGTTCCTCTCAGACTCCAGGGCCTGTTTGGCCTTCTCCATGGACACTTTGTTCTGCGGGGACATGGACGCTCAGAACTTGTTTTTCTGGATACGTGGTCAAAAGAAAGGGCAGAATGTGAATGAGGAAGGGAGGACATACCCTCTTGGCCTGTTCCAGCTGCTCGTTGAGCTCATCGAAGGCCTGACTGTGTTTCTGTCTCATCTCAACCAGCTGCTGTTCGTGGACTTTGGCCTCGTCGTCCAGCGTCTTCTTGAGGTGGGCCACCTCCGTCTCACGTTTGCTCCTGTAAAAAAAAGGAGGAACGGAGGTGAGTGTGCGGCCGCGGGAACGTCTGCTGAACCCAGACGGCGGTCTCGATGTTTGCAGCGTACCTGAGTTCTTGCTGAGCTGCGGTTGAGTCCAGGGTGTCCTCTAGCTCCGTCTTGAGGGCCTCCAGCTCCTCACCCAGGTCCCTGCGGTGTTTCTCGGCTTTGGTGCGGGCCTGCCTCTCCAGCTCCAAATCCTCCTGCAGCTCCGAGAGCTGAGCCTCCATCTCGCGGATCTTTTTCTGAGCCAGGTTCTTCTGCGCGGCCTCCTCCTCAATCCTTAAGTGAGGGAGAAAACAATTTAACAAAAATAGCAGCAGAGATCAGAACCTCAAACATTGACTTCAATTAATTTGAGCGCATGTTCAGATACACTCCCTAAAATGAATCAATAATTAATGCTCCAGAAAATAAGGATTTCAAAGACTTTTGGAGCTTAGACAGACCTGGCCAGAGCTGCCTGGAGCTCCTCTTCCTTCTTAGCCAGCTGTGCACGAAGCTCGGCGATCTGAGCCTGCAGCTCAGCGATCTGATCGTGGATCTCGGTGAAGTCGCCCTCCAGCTTGCGTCGGTTCTTCTCCAGCTCTTGACGCTGCTTTTCCTCCCGGCGCAGGCGGTCTGAGAAAGAGGACGAAAAAGAAAAATTTAAGGAACATCTATGATGATGTATAATCTGGAATCTGGAGCCGACAATCAAAATAGATGCCATACCTTCCAGGTCTGTGATCATGGCCTCGTGTTTGGTCTTCAGCTTCTGCAAGCTCTTGGATTTCTCCTCCTCCTCTGCCAGGTTGGTGGTGAACTCAGAGATTCTATCCTCCAGCAGCTTCTTCTCCTGGATTCATAACAATAATTCATGGTCAAATAAAATCAAATGTTCCAGGTCAAACTAAATGCATCTATAAAAAGCCCTGCTGATCAATGGCTGTTCAATCTTTTCATTCTAACCTTGTTTAGTTTGTTGTTCTGGTCATCTAAAACCATGACGTCTTCTTCCACCTTCTTCATCTTGGCTTCCAAAGTAACCTTCTCCAGCTGAAGCTTCTGTCTCGCTGCCTCCTCCTCGTCCAGCTGCTGCTCCAAGTCCTGTGCACGATAAATTGCAGGATGGTTGGCGAGGCCCATCCACACAGAGATGCATGAGGCCATTTGCTGAAAGGGCAATATTTTCCCCACTTACAGAGATGTTTTGCTGCATCTTCTTTTTCTCCGACGACAGATGGGTGGCGCGCTCTTCCTCCTCCTCCACGCGGGCCTCCAGGTCGTGGAGGATCTCCTCCAGCTCCTGCTTCTGGGCAGCGAGGCGAGCTCTCATTTCCTCGGCCTCAGCGCAGAGCTCCGTTTCTGCCTGGAGCTGCTCCTGCAGGGCCATCTTCTCAGCACTCAGCTAAAAAGAACACGAGAAGATTGAGCAGTGACTAGCCTGTCGTGGAAAAATAACAAATAAGAGACCAGGACCAGGTTTCTTTCTTATCCGTTTTACCTGCTGCTGTTTTTCCTCCATCTCCTGGAGCTGCTGCTCAGCATACAAGTGCTTCTCCTTCACTTTAGTCAGCTCGTCATCCTTGGCCTGCATCTCCTCCTCCTGCCTGCTGACCTGCAGCAGAGGCTTCACCTGAGGAGAAAACAGACATGAGGAAAGTTAGAAAAAAGTAACAGAAAACGGAGGAAATGCGCAGAAACCACAATGCAAATGAGAGATTAAAGCCGTAACTCACTTTGGTGAAGAGCCTCCACCACTGCCAGTTTCTGAGTTTAAGATAGGCTGCACAGTTTCTCTGGATCACCTTCATAGCAGTCAGCTGCTGCTGCCTCTTTGCAAAAGCTCTGGAGAGAAACAAGGGTTGAACATAGACGCACGTCCATGAATCCCTTCATCTTCAATCTCGGAGACAAGTGGTATCACAGATTGAGGTAGCTGTCGCGTCTTACTTGCGGGCCACGTAGCCTCTGCACCAGGCCTGGAAGCTGATGATGATATCTGTGATCTTCATGTCCCTCTCCTCCTCTAGGTGAGCCAGGACTCCTGCTCTGAAGAAGACCTTACTCTGCCCGATGCGGTACAGGTTGGGGTCGAGCTCCAGACTTCTGATCTGATGGGAAAGGAAAAGCACAGGTTGGTCAGTTGCACTTCGGAAACGCAGGGGGCTGGGGGGGTGGTCTGAGGGCCAGGGGACCAGAAACATACAAAGCACTCTCACCATGAGCACACAGGCCTGCTTTCCATCCATAAAGCCCTTGGGAATGGCATTGGGAGTGAGGATTTCATACCTAAAAGAAACAAAGATAGGATAGGATTTTTCTTTAGTTACACACAAAGTATTTTTTTCCAAAGGCAACAGAAAAAAAAAAAAGTTACCTCTGTCTAAACTCCTGGAAGACGATTCTGTTGGGGAATCCCTGTCTGCAGATACGGATCCCCTCCAACACACCGTTACACCTCAGCTGGTCCAGAACCAGGTGTGGGTCAAGTTTACCAGCCTGAGAACATAGACATTTGTGTGAGGCATTCACTGAAGAAACAAACTTAAAATATATTGACCCTACGTAAACTGGTCAACTAGGACCTTTAACTGATAGCTATCGGATCTCCAATTATTTAGAGTGGAACTCCCCTTTTTGGTTCTTTATTATTTCAAAGGGGGATAAAAAGGGGATGCCATTAGCTCTCTCGTACCTTCTTCTCGTGGTTGGGGATGATGCAGCGGACAAAGTTGGGGTTTGTGTTCCTCAGTGTGGCCATGAGCTTGGACAGCTGCTCCTTGTACAGCTGGCCAACTGTGCGGAACATGCCCTTGCGGGTCTTAAAAGCACCAGGCATCTCGGACATGCCCGACACCTTATCTAGACCAACGATGCGGTCCACTGAAAGAGGTGGCATCAGAGTAAAGAGAGGCAGGGAGGGGGGGGGAGAAAGAGGTTCGTCATTCTATTAAGTCAGAGGAATTTCTTAGAATTTAAAAATGTTTTCAACCAGCAAACTCAAACCAAATGCACATCACAAGGAATGATGGATATGACCGTCATCTCTGCACCTCCTCCTGGTAAAAGCCACACCCGGCCAGGGGAGAAAAAGGAGGTGGCTCACAGAACCAGGAGCAGTGAAACACCACACAAACACCGACTTAATGTGGGGGGAAATTATACAGGAAGAGTATAATGGAGGGCAGTCACAAGAAGCCAGTGAAGAGTGGAAAGATAACACACCATAACGGGGGGGAAAAAAACAAAACAAACATATCCAATGCAGTGAGGGGAACCGTTAACACTGCCGCGTTGTTGGAACACGTGAACTATGTGCAATGACTGCTTTAAATATGCATTTGTGGCAATAAGGTGACAAACTTCGGTGGTTGCAGTGGGCATGTATGTTTGCAGTGACAAAACCAAACCAAACCCATGCAGTATATACCCATTGCTGCAGTACCCATGACCAACACCAGGAGGCCTCAAACAACACTATCACACAGAGGGAGAGAAGGAGAGTTCAATGAACGAGCAGCGAGTAAGATAACCAGAAGACTTTTTTTTTTGTTCTTTTGTTGTTTTTTTTTAACCGTACACATCGTAGGTCCGAGACGGATTTGGTATACATTATCAACTTTTTTTTTTTCCTTTTTTCTCTCAAGACAAAAAACAGGAGAAAAAGGATGAAGACACAATGGAAGGTTCTGGGTGGAAATAGACATGTTTATGACGCATGACACAGAACAGGAATTAAAAATAATAATAAACAGAAATGAAAAAGAAACCTTTTCACCTGAATCTGAGTGGAGAATAGGAAAACGGTGATAAAAATAGGCTCTCTGACAACTCTTTACCTCTGAGGGCCAATAAAAAGGAGGGGAAAAAAGACAGACAAAGTGGGGCCGTACAGAGGGAGAAATGCACAAAACGACCAGTGGGATTTGAAAAAAAGGTTCAAATACAGAGGTCCAAACACCAGACAGTAAAAGAGAGAGAAAGCACCATGAACAAGAAGCAAACATAGACAATAAGATTCCTTTAACAAGCGCTGCCCCAAATGAAGCAGTAGTTCCTTAATCAATGAGATCAGCTTCTGCCCCAACTCACCATCCTTCCACAGCTCAGAGACAAACTTGTCAGTGGACTGGTTGAGCAGCGAGGCAACGTTATCATTCAGTGGGTCCATGTTCTTCATCAGCCATTCGTCGGCTTTGTAGTCCACCTGATAAGAAGAACAAGGCAGCAGTTGACAAGTTGTGCTTTTAAAGGATCTTACAGATGATTTTTTTTTAGTTCTAACCATTAAGAGAGTATTAAAAAAAACAATAGTCTCACATATTATATATGTGTGTTAAAAGAGAGAATGCTGAGGTCTGCATGCTTACCTTGCCAGCGTAGTGAATAATGCAGAAGTCCGCCTCATCCTTCAGTTTCTTGGGCTTGAAAAACTTGGGGTGTGTGCCCTGCTCCTGGAGCACCTTCTCCACAAAGCTCTTGTCTGTGGCTTTAGGGAACCAGCACTCCTCATCCAGCAAGGCCAGGATACCAGGAGGACTGGCCTGGGTTCAAAAAGGCAGCGGAGGAAATTGTGTGAAATGGGGCCAAAAGCATCGGAAGACGTCTGAATCCTAAAAAAATAAAATAAAATCCAGAACAGCGACAGGATGGAAATTCAAACTCACAGGCTTCTCAATGAGGTCGATGCAGGGCTGCAGGTCCAGGCCGAAGTCGATGAAGCTCCACTCGATGCCCTCCCTCTGGTACTCCTCCTGCTCCAGGATGAACATGGTGTGGTTGAAGAGCTGCTGCAGCTTCTCGTTGGTGTAGTTAATGCACAGCTGCTCGAATGAGTTCAACTAAAGAGAAGAGAAAAGAAGGGACATGTTTTGTGCTCGTTCACAGTCACATTTGCAAGTTCAGTGTGTGTTCACCGCTGACCTGTCGATCATTCAAACATTTGCTTGTGTTTACCTCAAAGATCTCAAAACCAGCAATGTCCAAGATGCCAATGAAGGAGGCTCCCTGTCTTTTGGTCTTGTCCAGGGCTTTATTGATCCTCATGACGAGCCAGCGGAACATCCTTTCATAGGTGGCCTTGGCCAGGGCTTCCACCGCAAACTCGGCCTGCTCCTGAGTCTGAGCTTTCTGCACGTAGTCTCTGCCCACTTTGATCCTGGGGGACAGGATGGCCCTGGTGAAGTCTGTGACATTCATGCCCATAAGGTGAGACACCTTCTGGGCAGCTGTTGGAGAAAAGCAGGAAGAGAAAAAAAGAGAAAAGAAACTTTAAATAAGAGTTTGAGGGGTTGGGCGAAGGATGGCATGAATGCGTAGAGGGGCTAAGAAGGCCTGACCTGTGTTGTCGGGCATGGAGGCTTGATCTGTGTGGCGCTCCTTCTTGAAGCTCATGTTTCCGAGCTGCAGAACTGAGGCCACCACCTTCAACATGCCTGAAAAAGGACAGGGGAGTTTTATGAGGAAATGAAAATATACACAGACACATACAAAAGACAGTAAAAAAATAACAGGCTGGGGATGATTCCTTACCTATCTGCTCATCCTCAGGAATGCTCATGATCTTCATGGCCTCCAGCGTCTCTGTGAACAGATCCTTGTCCTGCTGCCCCGGGATGGTGACATTTCCGTTGGAAAGGAATCGGTAGTTGTTGTAATTCTCGAGGAGGAGATCACCTAAAATAAATGGAAAGTTGTGGCGAGCGCACAAAATGGCTGATGATCCCTGGAAAATGGTAAACGGGCTGCTTACTGCGCAGTTTGTCTCCTGCTCCTGTGAGCAAGTAGTAGAAAATGTGAAAGGTCCTCTCGTCTTTGGCCTGGCGGATGGCACGGGATTTCTCCAACAAGTCTAAATATCAATCTGTCAAGGAAAGCAAATTCTTTGAAAGGCAACAGAGCCCGTCCGACAGCCGTGAGCACTGCTGTGAGATGCCTTCGAAAGGCGACATCAAATAAGACGCAATGAGGCAATGATGATGTGTTAAGGATACAGGTTTCTATATTGGCACCAACGATGTAGCCATTGACGTCAAAGTTAATCCTGATGAACTTTCCCTAAGGAAAAGGAAACATACATTTAAGATGTGGTGCGGATTATGTGGCGAGGAAAAACAGATATCCAAAGCAAACCTGAGGGGGAGAAAAAATATGTACATATATATTTATAGATATCAGTTCGTACAAATCTGGAGGAGTTGTCATTTTTGACCGTCTTGGCATTTCCAAAAGCTTCCAGGATGGGGTTGGCCTGCAGCAGCTGCTTCTCCAGCTCCCCCTGGTGGAATTTAATAGAACAGCAGAGCACGTTATCAGACCCTGTGCCTTCCTAACACTTGGGTAAAAATATTTCTGAGTCAAGAACCCAGCTTCAAACCATTAGCTTTAACTTGTTCTCTTGATATTTGTGATTAGCCATAACCGTTTAAAAAAAAATTCTGCTTCTCCCAAAAAAAATCTACACAGGTAGAGGGATGGTTGTTGATTCACCCTGGGTACATTCACATTTGAGGAGAAGTGACCACATGGAGGAAACGAAAACAAAAAAAACATATGCACACAAACCCACGTACACACAAGCAATGCAGACATTACACCCAAGCATATAACCCAACACATAAGGTCATGTAAGAGGCCCAAACCAGCAAAAACACCCAAAACAAACAGACTGTCATTAATAACCCACCACCTGATAACCCAAGTCGATTAGTCCCAGAAACAAATTTAAAAAGTGTCCTTTTAAGCTTTTGTGCATTCAATGTCTCCCTACTTTAAGCTTTGGCCTTTTAGAAAACACTTGCACATCACATCCATACTTACCTTTAATACATTAAAAAAGGCGCTTCTAGTATATTTAATATCTCTTACGTAACAAAGACTAGTGCGTACACACCCTCATAGAACATGTTTGCAATAGGAGATGTCAGCATGTCCCGAAGACGATTTTAGGAACAGGAACTTGACAGAAAAAAAATGTCAGGACTGTTGGACTCACAAGGTAGCGATAAAAAGCTATGAAAAATTCAGCCAGACGCATCAGTCAGATCAAAAGTTAAGTTCTTCCCGTCAAAGTGTGCGAAACTCCACCCCCTTATCCTTCCATTGTCTGGCTGGATGTTTCACAGGAACACAGAGGGCTGCCACTGAGCTGCAAACAAACTTCCTCTCAACTTCCTATTGGCTGGCAAGACACGTCACCTCTGCCCTTAATACAAAATGACTCCCACAAGAGCGCGCGCTTCAGCGGAGGGGAAGGGCGGGAGGAAGAAGAGCAAATGAAGGGGCAAAAGTCAACTCACATGTGACAGGATCGAACTGTTCTGTTGATGGGAAAAGAGAAATACAACAACCTCAAAAAATGGATGATGGATGTGTGTTTTTTGCTTTTTTTAACCCACACTGGTGGGTTCTTCTGAGCAGCATCCATCGTGGATCTGACAGTGGATATAATAATAGTGCAGGTCATCAGGCTTAATGTGGTATAAGGTGTTCTTGGACTGGCAATGAGATGCCATACACCTGGTAAAACCAACCAAATTGTATATATAGCTGAGCCTTTATATCTGCACTATCATTTCTGTGCTTGCCATCTGCTCTCCTTTCATAGCGCTTATTTCTGTGGCAGTGCACAGCTAAAGATTTTATCTGCTAGCCAAAACAAGCGGCTAGAATGCAACAACGTGATGATGGATTATCAAGTCATTCAAAGTACACAGGTGTGTCCAGTAAATGAGGGGATTTTTTTTTTTGTTTGTTTTTTATCTCACTTGGAAATGAAAAACACTGAATGATGAAAAGATGAGCTGACGTATGGTTCAAAGGTTAAATCTGTGTGTGTCGCAACCAGGACAAACCTGATCTTTCTTGGTCTTGTGAGAAGAGGCCACATGAGCGAGATACTGGATAACCTTTTTGGTGTTCTCTGTCTTACCAGCACCAGACTCGCCTCTATTTTTAAAGACAAACGCATGAAAATGGTTAGCCATATAATAAGAGAGACACAAAGAGTGAACAGAGCAGAGCAAGGACACTTTACTGGTTTAAAATCTTGACATTAGAGGGAATGCTTGTGGGACTCACGTGCAGAGAATAGACTGGTCTTCACGATCTACAAAAAAAAAAAAAAAAAGAAAAAAGGGGGGGGGATTATGCTCCATTCTAGACAAAAAGTCTGCAGTATTTTGACATGTTATCGCCACAGTGCATACATCTTTGGTGTATGCAACAGGAAATACAGTAACCATGGACAGGAAATCAATATCCGGCTTCCTGTGACTGTAAAGAGGTTTTGCAGGGGTTAAAAACCCACTTGCTAATTACCCTGTCTGCTCCCGAAATGTGGTCAGAACACAAAACTGGTGACAGACGGGCGAAAAAAACAAAAAAAACACTGAGAAAAGCAAACAAAAGTGTTGGACAGAGAGGGGAGTAGCTGTGTAGGTGGGTTAGATGTTTGACAGCACACAGAAGAAGTAAATCCCCATATCCCCGTGCTAAGCTAACACGTAGAACCTGTACTGAAAGCCATTCAACACAATAGCTCTGCGGGAAATAACAAGCATGGACTCGTGTTGATTGACTGAGGCACAAAACAATGCTGTATCACAGTGATTAAAGGTAAAAAGCTTGGAGAAAAATAACTAAAAAAAAGGGGGGGGGCGCAGGATATTTGCTGACCACAATCACTGGAAATACAGGAAAATATTGTGTTAAAGTATAATGTTCTTAAAATGTATTTAAGAGAGAGTGTACCGTTAAGCTATAATTCTCAAATGCGCAGCACTCTACTTTTATTAGAGGGTTATAAGGCTGCTTTCCTAGAGGTACTGCATAAAACTCATTCTCTTGGGAGCAGAAAACTACTTTGTTCACAACAACATCTTAAAAGGGACCCTTATTTACTAGTGAAAGGAATGCTGAAAATGTTTCCAGCAAAGACAGATGCAAAGGAGGATATAAATTGAACAAAGGAAACATTCCAAGTCGTAGTTTCTTTTTGACGGATTTGTGGAATTCACCGCGGTGCCTTCGCCTTACCCTGCATCATGCTTCTGTAAGACGTATCGGTGATGGCATAGATATGCGGGGGCATCTCGTGCCTCTTCTTGCCCTTGTACATGTCGACGATCTCCTCCGAGTAGATGGGCAGGTTCTTGTAGGGGTTTATCACGACGCAGAAGAGGCCGGAGTATGTCTGTGGGACAGATGCGTGGGGAAATTAGGAAAACTTTTCCTTTACTAATGAGCACCAAATGCACACGGCGACATCTGGGAGAAGGGAGTGGGGGGTTAGACCCCTTGTGGGCCCAAGCCAACGACAGGAAATGTTAAAATCTGCTGGAATACATGTTAAGTTATGTGTGAGTACAACAACCCTTCCCCCACACTACATGAGCATAGCCTCTCTAGTAAAATAGTCTGTATGAAGCCAGTATTAACACCTTCCCATCCCCCCCCGAAATCACCTCTGAGCCGAAATCTCTCGTGAACTGATTTGTTACCGTCCTAAATTATATAACCTCAACCCTACCCTGCTGGAAGTTCAAACTGCTAACTGATTTTGGCATTTGGAAAATACAGCTGCACGACAGGTTAGTCATGTCCTATCTCAGATTCAGAAGAGAATTATCTTTCCTCCGAGGCCCACCTTTAAACCCTCCATTCCTTTCTCCAAAGCCCACTTCATCCCGTCTTTTACGCATCTTGACTCATATCTCAAACAAATTTGTGCCCCCCCCCCCCTCTCTCCCACCAGCTCTGCATTCCTGGGCTGCGCTCCCCACATCATGTACCAGTCACTCCTTCTGTAGTACACTGACTTTCTCTTGGGAGATGATCAATTTTTAAGACTTCAGAGCCTGGGGCCACCAAGGCCTGAATCTCTGGAGGGGCTGTGTGTGTGTGTGTGTGTGTGTGTGTGGGGGGGGGGACAACAAGCTTTGTTGATATGACTGGGTCACTGCAAAAAAAATCAGATATCACCAAATTACTCCCAGGCCAGAAAAAATAAAAAAAAGAGGACTAAATGGCATCAATTATAGAGGCCCAAACGACAGCTACAAGATGATTTACATTCCATGCCTGTTCCTGTAAATACTGGACTTTTGATGCCCCTCCTCACTCATTTTTCCACATCTCTCATGCTCGGACTGCATTGTTCCCAGCAGCTTCCTGTTTACACAATAACTCCAAACTCAGAGCAAAGGAGTCCAAGTACAAGTAGAAGACTGTTATAGAGCATGGAGTCAAATGAGCGAGAGGGAAGAACTGAAAAAAACAAACAAAAAAAATATATATCTGTATATTTATTTATTATAATTTGTTAACAGATTTCACATTTTTCATTCCAATGAAAATCTGCACACAATGGGCTGTGCTAAAGTGCTAATTGTGTTAGGCAAGGCTGGGCCCTAAGCCATGACAGATTGTTGTCCATTAGCCAGGAGAAAAGTTGTAAAAAAAACACAAAAACAACTTAATGCATCATCGTGACACGCTTCGGTAAACAAGACGGAAACTTAACGACTATTCCCCCCACCCCACCCCCTCCCAGGGCCCCAATACTCACGTAGATGAGACCAGAGTAGTATCTCTCCTTCAGGTTGTGCAGCACGGAGGCCTCGTTCAGGCAGGTGAGCTCGGCCATGTCCTCCACCTTGCTGAACTTGGGCGGGTTCATCTTCTGGATGTCGTCCTTGTTCACCCGCACCTTCTTGCCGGAGTCGGCCAGCTCCACCACGCACTCGTCGCCGTGCTCCTCCTTCACGGAGCCGGCCTCGAAGCCCAGGCGCTCCGAGGGCACCCAGACCAGCTTCTTGGTGGCCCAGTCGGCCTGTGCCAGCGGGTTGTTGACCGGGTTGCGGTCCGCGTAGAGATACTTGTCTGCGTCCGACATTGTGGCTGTTGCAGGGGGGACAAGAAGGCAAATGGTTAGACTCAGAGGTTAGACTCATACAATTATCCTTTGACATCTATAAACTCTCCATATTGCAGATTTCACTTCAATGAAACGTGATCAGTTCTTTTTTTTTTTCTTTGACCAGTGATGGGATGTACGGGGGTTCTGTGTCACTTCTTGGCTAGCTGATGTGAAAACAAACATCCGGCCGGTGAACCGATAAACCCACACAAAGTCACAGGTTTCAGTTCATCTCTCAACAGGGGCATCTCCAGCTTCCACACACACACACACACACACCATCTGTCTGCTAGTAGGAAGTGTGTGAGGGAGCCTGCGTTTGCTGAGGTGCATACCGACTCCCAGAGCCTGTTTAAGACAGTGAAGAGGAACCGGCAGCCAGCAGATAAAAAAAAAAAAAAGGGCCTAAAGTCTTTTTTTTATTCATTCCCTCTGGTTGGTATAAGAGGCATTCTGTCTGTCCACACACGCAATTGTTCTTCTGAAGTTTATTGGAAAGAAACCTAAAGATGGATTTGCGTGAGGTGAGCCATGGAGAAGAGTGATTAACTTTAATGTTGAATCTAAGCCTTTGTATGCGGCCTTAGACAGGCAGTCTCCGCCGACTGTCATTTTCTATTCTCAAGTCAGACAGCCACTGGAATGTGTGGAACATTAAAGTCAGGATGATCCCATTTGATAGAGCTCGGTTTAATTCGTTTTTTTTTTATCCAGCAAGAGAGGCTTTTTGGAAACAGGACGCCATCTTTGTCTGTATAGTCTGTGATCAGTGAACTAATGCTATATTGTCTGCCACAAGCACATGACAAGGCCGCCGGCCCCATTGAATGAATTGTACTGTGTCAGATTTGTTCAACCCTGATGAAAAAACAAAAAACAAAACATAACATTTTTCCCAAAAAAGGACCGGGTGGGGGGATTACAGCCTTACGCCCAAACTCCAAAAAGTTTCTCAAGAAAAGAGGGGGGGGGAGACCCCATTTATGACAGATGAAGAGCAGCATCTGGGTTGGGTTGGGCCCGTAGGGGTTTTTAAGTGCTTACTGGCAAGCTTGCTCACAACTTTTTAAAACAAAAAACAAGCACACTGTGCCAAGTACTTCAAGTCCAGAATCTATGTAACAATACTGATTGATTATGTGAGCGTGCCAACACTTTGAGGACGAACAAACAATTGGTTTCTTGCCGTATTGTTTACAGAACAATGAGGTCAGAGGATGGACTGCCCAATAGCACAAAGTTCCCATGAGCTTTTTAAAAACCAAATCTGTTTGCATGAAAATAAGTTGCATCTAGGGTTAGTGTCGACATCCAGTTATTCTTGTTTCAGTAAGAGCCCTGATGGCATGTTAATAGGTTCGTGATCACGTTTTGCCATTTAAGGCCACGCAGGGTGTCACCCTGCCATCATCATCCCAGCAGCACAGCGGGGGCGTGATTCTGTGCTCCACCTCTGTTTAGAGACCGAGCTCTGACGTGTGCACGTTTGTTTCCGCAAGTTGCCCGTATTCAAATGGGGAAAACCGCAGTTGAGGTCAGGCTCAGGCTGCGTACTGATCTTCATGTCTGACCCCCTTTACATTTCAGAAGGAAGCTCTTTATCATGGGAGCGGTTTGACTTTGACTTTTTTGTCACAGTTAATAGTTTTTCTTCTGCTCGACACAGACGTAAAACAAAAAAAAAAAAGTCTGAGGCTCGAGTCGCAAATTCCCACCAACCTTGAAACCTCGAGGCGTGTGCGTAAAAGCTGTCGCCCGCTGACAAAGTCCAAACTGTGGCGGGGACAAACAACAGACTCCAGAGAAGCGGTCAAGAAACTCAAAAGGAGGTTGCAATATTTCAAAAACAGTTGAAAAGGTCTGTGACAGGCACATTAACCCTGAGAGACACAGGAGAGGGAGTGTCTCCCCCCCCCCCCCCCGTACCCCCCTCCGCTCTCTCCATTGTTCACCAACGTGCCGTCTGGCTGCACAACAGCTGATGACCATCCCCGCTAACCCCACTGACAAGTTCACCCCGGTCCTTCTGACCCCCATCCTGTAGCGGAGCGTGGGGCGAATTAGGACGGCTCATGCCTCCCACCTCCCGGAGTCTTTCACCCTGCCTCCCTCTCCTCGTGTTTATCCAGTCTTTTCAGGGTTGCATTCCTCCCATATTCACCCTTTATCAGGAAGAGACAGAGAGCAAAGGCATTCCACACATTTCTCCTCTCCACTCTCTATGGCCACCACCACCACCAGCATCACCACCCCCTTCCCAGCCTCAGATGCGCCATGACTGATTGTAACTTTTCTTTGAAAGGGAAAGAACAGAAACGGAGCGCCCGCTGTTGCTTCGGCTCTTCCTGTTGCACGGATGCAGTGCAGTAGCTGCTGAAGGCATTTTCTCTAAGACGGCATACCTTAAACCCAAGATCCTTATCTAAAGACAGCTCGCTTTTCAACATAACAAAAAAACAACAACATTAAAACGCAAGTAAAGAGGGCAGCCACGCCTGTCCGACTCGACACAGATAATAACTCGGCGATAACTCCGGGGAGTGGAATGAGGGCTAAAAATGACTCCGCCGGCTATTTTAGGTTGACGAGCACCGTTCTACAAAGAAAGAAAGAAGAGGAGGGAGAGAGAAGCTCCCTCTGCCCATCTTAGAGCTCAGCATGACATGGATGGAGATAAAAACGCTGGGCACAAACACTGGTCACAGCCATAACCCTTTTGTTTCAAGTCTGTTTTCATGTTTCTGTAAGGATGATTTCTGATGGCGCATCAACACTCAGCTGTGTAAACACTTTCTGACCATTAAACCATTTAATCTGAGACTGGCAGCATTGAAAGAGGAAGAACCGTCATGAGGGAAGAGGACTGGGCCATGTTTCTAAAAAGGAGGGCCCCGGAGACCAGAATGCGGTTTGCAAACAGGAAGCAACGCAGGAGCTCAGAGAGGGGGGGGGGGGTAGAAAAAAACCTTTAGGAACAAGGAGAGAAAAAGGAAATGAGATATAAAGCATTCTCTGTGCTGTTTTGAAAAGGCAGGACAACAAAAGCTAAAGCTTTCCTTCCCAAAAGCCCCTTCCTTTCCACCGTAAAAGTTCATGTAAAAACCTGGAGCTGTGACCGGGTCCAACCCCAGCTCATCCATGCATGGTCAAACCCACCAGCAGCGCTCTATTGGCTGCACCACTGGCAGCATTATCAATACACCAGCACGGTCAATAGCACACCACAGGACAACACCTCATCCACAATCTGAGCCAACTCGGACTGTCCTCATCCGCAGTCCCAATGCTGTGAGCACACTTTTTAACTTTTTATGTTCCCGATTCGAACGAATGCTCCCCTCTTCTGTATCTTAGCTCTACCACTTTCACCTGCCCGCCTCTAAAGGTGATTCTGAGCTGGTTTATACAAGGAAAACAACTATTTAAAATTAAGAAAAGGACCCAGGGCCAGTCGAATTGTCTACCGCATCCACTCCCTCTCTCCTCCCCCCTTCACCCTCCTCCTCGTCTCAGGCTTGGAAGGGTGGGTCTTAAGGAGGAGAGGAAATGACAAACAGGGAAAACTATTTTGCCATTTGTGGAACTTATCTTCAAGGATAAGAAAAGGTGTTCTTTTCTTCTTCTTCCGAGAAGCTTTAACAACACTTCAGCAAATTGAGCGGCAAAGTAAAAAAAAATATATATAAAAACATTCTTGACGAATCTACTTTTTACATTGCTGCCTCAACCAAGGTCCAATTTCACTGCGTTGTAAGCTGGTTCAACCATTTGACACGTCAGGCTCCTCTTAGTCTTACCAATTCCACATCGTCTACACCAGGGGCTTAGGGACTGGCCAGGTTTCCATTCACTAGCTAAGCAAAAATGAAGCGAAGTCCCCTTCCAACGGGAATGAAGGGAAATGTGTGCATGACTTGCGATTCTACAGCGGGAATAGGTGTCCCACAGGAAACCAACGTTTGAGAAGTCCCAATAAGAACTAAGGAAAATGGCTCTTTTTAAGGAAAATCCACAATCTTGGCAAATAACTGGTAAATTGCCTAATGTTTTGGAATAGAGCTGTTAGTCACATGGGCTTGGTTTGCCTGCCCTTACTGGTGGGAGCTGGTGAGCCGCATCATTTCAATCAAACCAGTCGAGTCACCATTCCCAGGTGCTTCCATGCATCATGTTTCCATCAGAAGCAAATGCATCGATTAGATTGCTCAGATTTCTGTCTCTTACCCTTTGTTGCCCACTACATTTTCACTAATAATTCAATCTAAAACAAAAAAAGGAAAAAGTTCAAATATAGAAATCCTTTTGTGCTGAATCACTGTATGTTCAACTTGATTAGATAACCCCCAACCCCCCCCCCAAAAAAGCAGATACTGCAAAGCACCAGCTTGCCCCTTTCGCAAACACACTCAAAGTTATTGACCATGAGATAATGGACAGTTACACAGACCTTTTAACAGACAGTGAAAGAATGCAGAAGGGAGTTAGGATAAACATTTCGGACGTCAGCAGTATTTTTCCCTCAGAGGAATGCTGCACATCCACGGCTCCGTCTTATTTCTGACAGACCCGGAACCTTCCTTTTCGAAACCAGTAATCTCACAAAACTGACACGAATCAGCCTGCCAACTGACCCCCGCCCCCCACCACCACCACTTGGTTTATTACGTTGTCATTTATTTGTGGTTTCTTCTTATCACTGTTTATCTCTATTTAGAACACTCCCTTTGAGTCACAGCAATACGGGCCAGTCCGGATTCGGCAATTATGCCATCCAACAGTATGGTCACAGACCTCAGACGGCCACATGGCGCGTTGATAAACTGGACATCTGCCGTGTAGTGTGATCTCTAGATTAACGCGGAGGGTAAATCAATAATTGATAGCAACAAGGAGTTCGAGCAATCGAGCAACATAGTTCATAGGTCAGAGAGTCAAAGGGAGATTGCGGTGAAGTAATTTTATAATCTCTGAACTATTAACCGTGGCAGCGCACAGTCACGCCAGGTGTGTCGCACGCGCGCGCGCGCACACACACACACACACACACACACACACACACACACACACACACGTCTGGAGACAAAGTCTAGCACATGTCCTGTGCGGAAATGACACTAGATTGCACAAAAGACTAAGTTTGCGGGTTTTAAAAACCGCGCGGTGCCTTTCAGATTACTCCAAACAAACCACATAATAAAGGTTAGCACTCATTTGAGCGCTACCTCGTGATTATCGTTATAAAACAAGAAGCCGTTTCCATCTAGTCGGGCGCATGTAGCCACTAAAAGGGTGTGGTCGAAGTCCATCCTTCAAGACTGGAAATCTCTAATCTTTTCTGTAGTCTAAGCCCGGGAGCAGTCATTTCCTGGTATTGTTTCATCACACTGAAACATTTCAGGTGCTGCTCCATGGGGAGACTCAACCAAGAAGGAAAATAGGCTGGAGGAGGAGGAAGACACTCAGAAAAACAAAGTGTAACAGAGATTCTCAAGAAAAGTCTGAAGAGGAGACCAGAAAGATGAAGATATCAATCAAAATTGGGCCAGATTCTGACGCAACCATAAGAAATGAGGGCAAAACGTAGCCTATCAAGTAAGAGATGGATTTAATGAGTTAGATAACACAGAGATAATGTATACACAGTAAGGACAGACCATCTTGGGTGTCTGCTTATTTGTTTTTTGGCTTGCTGCGTTATTAAATTAAAAACAATTGTGCGTCTATTTTTGAATATCTGGGAGTGAAAAAAGAAAAAGAGAACGGCCCCGGTTAATGAAGACAATCTTTACTCTGGCTGGAATGTTTTGTCTGCATGAATGCATCTCAGCTGACTGGGAAACGCGGATACATGTGACATCAGCGTGCGGCCTCCATCACTCAACAATAAGAATTGTTGGAATCAAGAAAGATCAGAACAGACAGAGGATGCTGCGAGTCTGAAGGCTGGTCAGTTATCGAGAAAACAAAGGGGACATAAACGAACCGGCTCGTACAGGAACAACTGGCCTGCATAAACAAAGGAGACACCGCAGTGCAGGTTTTCCATTCAGATCTGTGCACGTATTCAAATTAACTAAATATTTACACACATTAACAACGGAATAGAAAATTAAAACAACTGCGTGACATCCCCTGTTGCTACCGACTGTTGATTTAGACTTAAAACGGCATTTCCTTTGAGGAAAATTTTCCTTAGACAATGAATGCATCATGGGAGGAACAGAACTAAAAAAAAAAAGTTTAATCTTTTTTTTTTTTAAACACACAATTAAATGCTAGATTGTGGTGCATTTGAGGATCAGGGCTTATGGAGGAAATTAAATAGGTATTCCTGCTACAAGGTATAGAGCCATGTAATAAAAATAGACTGCATAAAGTAGGAATGTACCGTTATTTGAGGGTTGTTGTTTTTTTTTTTCTTTCTTTTATTTGCAGAAATACCTGTGCGGTTACCTGGAGCACTTGGATTTCCTGTGGTATAGAGACAAGGCCTTACAGCCTGTGGCATTTCTGATTCAACTTTAAGAATTCGTAGAATGAGGACTATATAAGTCTGTTGTTCAAGTCAAACATAATGGGATCAATAAATTAATAATCGAAACAGGTCAACAAACGCTCAATCGGAGCGTTTCCATTTCAGGTATAGATTCTGGTGAGGCTAATGTTGAACTTTTTAGAGAGCGCTTTGGAAATCTATAGTCTACTTATTGCGAGGAGTCACAAGACTCTGCACAGTTGAGATGAGTGTTCTCTGCAACATGTGCTGCGGACAATCCCGAGAGCATTACAAACAGCAAATCAAACTACGCGTTGACATCATATCTAAATCACATTAAGCAGCTTGTTGCGAGCAAGGCCCCAAAATTCAACAGAAAATGTAGCAACGAGCATCTAATGATTAAAAGAAAAACAGAGAGAAATCATAACAGAAGACATCTGTTGGCTGCAATGCGCCAAACAATGTCAGGCTGCCCTAAACCACCCTTGAGTGAAACCTAAACATCCACAGACTCGCTCCCTCAAACTGTATCTTTCTGAGAAGATTGAGGAGCCTTCCACACCAGCACCCTGTTCGTATTTAAGATGTCTGCATCTAATTTTGCTAAGCCTACAAAGCACAACCCTCCTGGGGGGGGCTCGTGTATGGACATTGCTGACACACGAACACTGGAATGTAACGATCTCTGCAGGGGGCTCAATAACAGCACCGAACCTGGCAATAAGTCAGAAAAACTGGCCTCCAGAGAAGCCATTTCACAATGTACAGACAGGGCTAAACAAATCAACAAAAACTCTTTTTTTAAATCTTTTCAATGACTCAATGCAAAAACAGGATATGACGCCTGTGTTACTTACTTGTTACCCAGTGTCACGTACAGCATTAGAACAACTAATCTAGGAAACCACACAGGAATATGAATTAAACACAGATCACCCACAGAAGTGAAGAAAAAAGATGTTTTTTTTAAAAAGCACAGAAGTTATTCAGTGTGATCACTCTTAAATCAGAGGAGCAAACCATTGCTTGATTCTAAATTAAGCTAGGTCAAAGCATGGCCTACTGCAAAAGAAAAAAAGCAGGTTAGTTAAAATACTGGTCTGATTACCGAATGCGAAATCAGAAAGGTGCTACACCCACTTCCCTCTGACTTCCTCCAACACTTGGTGCTATGAGAAGCACTTTAAAAGGGCGTTTAAAAAGGCGTTAATTTACTTACATATATCACATACACACACATATATACTAGCCCCTTGCCTGAAATTGTCAAAGATTAGAGGAGTGCAGGCATACAGAGCCTGTTTGCTTCGCTGGGTGCAAACACAATGACGTACCTTCTGAACTGAGCAAACATTAACTCTGCAGACAAAAGCGCAATTGGTGTGTAGGTGCCTCACCACAGTGCGATTGGGACAAACGAGAACATGACATCTGACACATTTGAAGGCGTCTCCAGATTTTTGTTTTAGAGAATAGAATTGGAAAGTCTCCCTTTCAAGACTAATTTTTAAATCTAGATAAGTGCATGCGCATTCCATATACTTTTTACTGCATATAGTTTTATATTTTAAGTTTATGGACCTGGGATTTACGTTATTAGTTTACAGATATATATTTTTTTAAAGTTTGGCTTGATAGCGAGCCCATAAAAGCTGTTAAGCCAGGGAAAAACTCATGCTTCTGAGCTAATGTTCATGACAGTGAGCTGAACTGCAATTAGATTACAGACCCAGCCATTTTCAGCTGGCACTCCTGTTCACTATAATATGGAGTTCATTAATGAAAGCATTCATCCCACTGCTCATCAACCTAGACAAAACAGGCCATCTTCTTCCTCCCTGACCAGAAACCAACGACAGATAAAAAAGCCATGTGCCCTCTTTTAGCCCATGATCCCATTTTGTCTGGCCCTCTCTTTTTCACTTAACAGATAGCAAACAAACAAAAAAAAAGTAACTTGAGACTACAAAAATCACATTCAAATCTGTGCTTTGTTTTTCCGAGGGGCAGTGAAGACCTCTGGAGGGCCCTGGTATGCTAAGAGACAGACATTTATGGAAACGGGGCACAATCATCCAGATGACATGGTTCGGTGAGGCTGAAGCTTGTGATCGGCGG